GGAATTAAGGACACATATCTTAGAGTGTAAGCATTATAATACTATACTAAGCATCTAAGTCCCATTTATATTTATCCTGGTATAATCATGTCACAAGAAATGTGTGCAGGTACTACCATAGGTATACGATTTCTACATTTTACTGTATCAGGCAATAATTTCAAAGTTAATGCCATTTCATACTGATCTTTTCCTCACATCTTCATTGATGATTTACTCTTTCTAGGAACTGTTACTTCTTTCATTTCAGTCACCCGTTCATGACAGGCAACATCAAAACTTCTTTTCATTTTTATTTCATAGATGTAGCCAGTTTTATTTTACCAAAGTTAAAAATAGTTAAATTCTTAAGTGGGACAGTTGGGAAACTGTGAGAGTGCACTGCTGAAGAGCAGCAGCCACACACAGCTAGAGAGTGTGCAATGTTCTTGTAGTTTACAAGGACTCGGGGTCTTAATAGCAGGGGTTCTAGGTAAAAGGCAACAAGGGCACTTGTTGCTCTGTAGATGTGGAGATTCTTACTGCTTTTGTAACCAGAATTATAACTGATAATGCCAAAAAAGGAAGTAAAATCTTCAGTAGATATTCACAGATTAGCACAGATACTGATCAGGTTCCTTCCTGATCTTTTTTGCCCTCACTTTGACTCTCTCCCATGTCTAGATTTGACTATAAGCACAATGAGCTCTTGTGTGGGAATTCAGCTCTGGGCTTTGACCCAGGAGAGCTGAAAGGAAGAACACTGCATTTAACTACTCTACCTGGTAGACCTATTATAAGGATTTATTTGGTAAAGCCTGTACAACAGTTAGAAGAAGTAAAGCACTTGGCAAGTGTTAAGTGTCATTAATGTGAGGAGAATAGTGCTTGAGCACTTGTGCACCAGCTCTGAAGGAGGAGGAAGGGGGTAGATAAGTAGTTGATTTTTGCTTGCTGTTGCAGTGTTGTGAAAGCAGGACAAAGGCTTGAGTTTGGAATAGTTAAAGCAATCACTGGTTTTAAAATTTCAGCTCTACAAGTAGAGAAGGAACTCTCAAGGTCACAACCTTTCCAGTAGGACATCATCCTTCTTTGCTTCTCTGGCGGTGGCTGTTTTGTCACAGAAGTCATGTTGGCTGCCAATTAAAATATTTATGTGCAAACCTTTAACTCCCTTGAGATTTTCTCGAGGGTTTCTAATACAGAAAGGATTGCAACCAGAAAAATAGCTTTACAGAGGTGATTTCTTGGATTTACCTGGACTAAGAAATAAGTTACATTATGAGGTACCTTTTAAAACTTCACTTGTTGCTTACAACAAGTAAGAATGTTCTGTAGATCCGTAGGCAAATGGTCTTAGAGTGACTTATCTGCAAGCTCATGAAATCTCTTTTCTCCTAGTAGTACAGTCTTGTGAAGCTCTGAGCCCCTATATTCTTGTATATATCTGTTTATAAACTCCCATTTCACTATCTTGAACTTATCTTACCCTGGATGTATCTTATTATAGAAGCTGCTCTTTTTTTCCTCATCTGAATGAAAAGCTTGGATGAAATGACCGGAATATATGAAAAACACTTTTCTACTTTAAGAATGACTTGCAATTCTGTAAACTCCCACCCAGTCCCTGAACAGAAACGTGTCGTAGTTTCCTTTATGAGTATTTTGTGTCCCTGCTTCTGCACAACTGGTTTATGCTACTTACGTGGCTGGTGAACTTCTGGGCAGTCCCATAGCATTGGTGGATGGCACAGTAGGAAGTGAAGGAAGAACAGCACTAAGGAAAGCTACTGGATTCTGAATCCGACCAGTTGGGGAGACAGGAGCAGGAGTCACACTCTGTGGCTGGAACTGTTTTACACCAGATGTAGGAAGTGTTAATGGAGGCATCATGGATTCTTTAGGGCTTGGTAGGGACTGTTCATTTTTGCTGGTAAACCCTCCTGAAGACCTTGGTTGGGCAGAGGGAGGATTTCCTGTGGAATTTTCCTTGTGATTTGTTCTTTGAGTTCCTTGAGGGACGTTGCTGAATGTTGTCACTGAGGAGCTGAAAGAGGAGCTGGTAGGCAGTGTGGTTTGTGATGGTGGGAGCTGCTTCTGTCGGCTGTAGCTGAATGCTTGGGAAGCAGAGACTTTGCTCTGCCTGTACACAGTCGAGGTGGACTGTTGCTGGAGTGAAGTAGCAGAATTCAATAAAGCTGTGTTGAATGACAGCTCTCTTGAAGATGTCTGATACAGCTGCTGTTCAAGCAAGACCTGGTTCTGGAGCTGTTTTAGCTGGGTCTGATCACTGCATATAAAACAAAGATAAGTAAAATGGCCAGAATGTGCCAGCTGACTGCATTTCCATTTGTGAGCTGTGAGAGAAAGAGTCTTTGTCCTGTGATACAGTAAAGAGCCAGAGGAAGCTGCTGCATGACATATGCTGTGACATAATATTAGTTTGTTATTAAAATAAACTTTTCCTTCCTCTCCTCTTCTTTGCCAGAGGCACGAAAGCTTTTTGCCTGAAAAGTATTTGGCTGAAGATGATTCCTAAATTTTAACACATGAAATGTAAATATAAATCTTACTTGAAGATATTTATAGAGTAACGTTGACAAATTCTACTCTATGTCAGCTTAGTACCTCACTGGTTGTGTAACTAAGAGTAGGATTTGGTTTATCAGATTTTAAATGTGTGTTTGTAAGGTAGATTGCAGTTATTTAGCTCCTGTGAAAGTGGGTCCTGAAACCAGAATTTTTGGCTAATAAAGCCTTGCAGTAATCCACCAAAAGACATTTTGCCCATGTGCTGTAGGTGGTGATGACATTTGGTGACAGGCAGGAGTGCATCATCCAGAAAGGACTTGCATTTCATGCAACTGTTGCTTCCTAGATGCTATCAATTGTATAAGTTGTCAGGGCTTTTTTACTTTGCATCTAAGTCCCATGTCAAGTAATTTATTTAGTAATTATATATATATAAATACAGCATATGGAAAACAGGCTAACTTTTCCCCTTCCAAAACAAAAAAGGACATAAATTATATGGAAAGTGATCATGTAATAAATTGTTGAGAATGAAATAGCTATTGTTAAAAAGCAAAAAATGTAGAGGTAGAAACCAAACACAACTTGTACTGACAAACCCAAAACACTAAGTCGACAGAACTTCTTTTTATTAAAAAAAAAAAAAGTTAAAAGGAAGTTTCAATAATGTGTTAAACAAAAATCATATTAAAGGTAGATAAAAATAGTAATGTAGAGCTTTCAAGAAGTTAGAGAGTTTGGGATGGTTGTTGAGCAAAAATCTGCTTTATTCAAGCATGGGACAACTTAAATACTGCTTTTCCTCTCCCTTAAACATACTGTGGCTCTGAAAGGGCTGTGAATATGGGCACATTAAGAAAACACTGCTCCAAGTTCTTCCTCTGTTACATGCTATATAAGTTCTGTCTTCTCACTTGTAATGTTTATAGTGTGAAATTACATCCCTGCTTAAGAGTACCTATTAATTACTCTGTAAACTCCTTCCTCAGCCTTTAGTTGAGGCTTCTGCCTATTTAAGAAATTAAATGAAGGACTCTGCATCCTTTTTGCTAAACTAGATTTTGGAGGTTTCAAAAATGCTGAAAATATATTTCTTAGGAAACTGCCATGTGAATTCCATAAAATGTCCTCTAAGAAAACTACATGACTTCTTAAAATGTCCCCTTGAGCTTACAGTGCACTGATCTTGGATGTGCTTTTCAGTTCAAGTGGTTTTACATTATCAAACATTTCTGAGTATTTTCCCTGTTTTAGGAGGAGAATATGTTTGTGAGACACAAGTCATAAGGCTTGGCCTTTAACACTACAGTTGCCAGCTGGTTGCTGGCCCATGCTGGGTAGAAAGATGGAAATGTTCAGGCACAATGGCATGCTCAGAATTGAGTGGAATATATTTGAAGAACCTGCTTTTATTTTGCCTGCCTAAAAGCATTGTTGTTCACCTTTTGGTTGCAGCAGGAAACATTCTGGAATTAAATAAAATTTCAAAGGGAAAACATTTTCCTTTTAAATTTGGAGAACTCTTTTTTTTTTTTTTGGAGGTTATACAGGAAAAAAAAATACATAGCTCTATAGGATATGTTATCTATAAGTATGGTTAATTAGGCTAGCACCATGTGATCCTGACTGTCTCTTTGTTCTGTGCTTTATTCTTATGGTCGAGTGCAACAGTGTCCTGGTCTGTGAATACTGAATAGTATCAGAGATATTCCTGAGACTTAGAATCCCTTTTACTTACAGCTTTGGTTTAGCCAGTACTGGAGGAGGTTCCTTGGAGGGTGATGTTGGCTCTGGTATTTTCATTGGCTGTCCATTTATTCTCTCTTGGAAATAGTTGGGTCTGATTTGGTTTGTAGCACCGGGTCCATCCTCTGATGATGACTCACTGCCTTTATCATCTTCAGGCAGCTTGAAATGCACACGGAGACCTATCTTGGAACTCGACCTGGGTTCATTGTGGTTCACAAGAACACCTTCAAGTTTAGGCTTAGGGGTTTGATTTATGACATGATAGGAAGGAGTACATGGGGGAGGTTGATGTTCAGCAGCAGTTAAGTTGATTGAGCTCATTGTGTGAAGGGTATCAGCATTACTGTTGTCTTCAGATGCTGAAACTGCAAATACCAAACTTTTGGTGACATGCAAATACAATACATTATAGTGAAATGAAATCACAAAAGTTACAGTTGGAAAAACTCGCTCTGCTGTCAGAGGTTATTTGTTCTCTTTTGTTTAACAACAAATTCTCTTAACAAAGGAATACTGTAAAGGCAGGGGGAAAAGAGACACAGTTCTAGTTTGGAAGATCCAGCAGTGGTCTTCAGCCATGTCCCCTGTGAGTTCCACCAGCATTTTTGAGACACAAATTTTCTTCTCAGAGAATTCTCTTAACTTTTTAGTTAAGAAGAACACTGCCAGAACTTGAACTGAAGTTAACAGTGCACTATGCTTTTCTGGACTGTGCTTTGCTCACCTAACTGCTTAGTGCCTTGGCAGAATAGAGTATGTATGAAAGAATCTGTTCTGAGCTTTCCTCCTTTGGGCTCTGCACCAAAGGGTTATTGAAACAGCAAACTAGACAGTCCATAGCGATTTCAAAAATGGCTGTTGCCCAAATCTTGAGATCAGCATGAGTTACGTTTTTGGAAGGGCTGTGTGGGATTAATTCCCTAATGTTCCTTGTGCCTTCACATTTCTAACTGGGGAAGGACACTTTGAGAAGACACAGCAATCTGCATGTTTGGTAAGCAGCTTGGACTGTAGAGTGCAGCAGCCTGCTCTGCTTGGGTTTGCTAGCAAACAAAGGGCCAAAACAATTTCTTACCTTTGACAGTTAGATGAGCTATACTAGACACAGTGCCATATTTATTGCTTGCAGTACAGGTGAAACTGCCAGAATCTTCTGAAAATACTTCAGCAATAACAAGGGTGCAAATTTCCTCTGCAAAGCATCAGAGCAGTATTATTACTTGAAGTGAACATGCATTGAGCAAAGACACAAAGCTTTGACTACCCTCAGGGACATTTTCTTAAGGTTTTCCACCTTGCTCAGTTTGATTTTTGTTTCACCAATGTTATCAAATTTGGCAGCCTTTGTGTGTGTGCAGCAGCTGTTATCAGCATTGTCTGCAGCAACTGGTACCCTCTGTGCTCCAGCATGCCCCAAAAGAGTGATGAACAGGTGTCAGCAGTGTTTGGAAAACATTAGAAAATGTTTTCCTAATCACATGAAGTACAGACTTCCTCTCTGAAGAACTTAACATTGAATTTGGAGGAGTACAGTGTACTCCGTACTCACAACTCACTAAAATATATGTATTTTATCTCTTTGCAGATTGAAAGATTGGTTGTAATTAACTGGGGACAATTCAAGTGGAGTCACTTTATAAAGTTGAAAATTATAGAACACATGCACATAGACTGACATTTTGCAAAAGTATCAGTGCAGATTTGGAGGTAGAGGAGTTGTGCTCACTGTGCTTGTGGAAAGTTGCTTTTTCACTTAATGGGCATAAAAAATGTGCCAGGAAAACTGTATTAGCAAAAAATAAATTCCATCTTGAAAAGTCCATCTGGAGTTATGACATTCCTGTCTGACCAGTAGTTGACATGCCCAGGCAGTAGCACCAGTAATAAATTCCTATGGTGATGGGATTTTAAAGCTTCCATTTGCCTTGGCAGCTGGGTTGGGGAGGGAGAGTGGATTGAAATGTGGACTGATAACATTTCTTCAACTAGTCAGTGACTATTTTGCTACCATTTCTCAAGAAACTGTCCTAAAACCCTACAGGATTCATGTTTTATGAGTATTTCAGTAAAAGACCGTGCCACCCTTACACTTGATTGTTTCATGTGGTCACTGAGGAAAATCAAGTAGCAACAAAGAGACTCTTTGCTAACAACTATAGAAGAATAATAGTTTATTATAGTACTAGGATTATGGAACTAGTTTAAAGCATTCTAGTATCTAGTTTGTGATACTTGCATTTGCCAACCACTGCATGCATGGAAGTCCAGATTCCTTCTGATTGAGCAGCAGGTGATGAGGCAGTGACAACTGCACCCAACTGATTACCCTCTAAAAACTGCTTCACATTACTCAGCAGTGATGCCACTGGACAGTAAAGGAATGGCATCAGTGGGTTCTGGTAGAAGCCCCATGTATTCATTCCTAAGACTCAATGAGAGACATTGCAGAGAGAGGGAGTCTCTTTCAAGACACTTTTTCGGGTAAAATAACTTCTAACAGGGCAAGGAGAAGAATTACAGAAGTTTATGTTCTGTAAGAATTAATAGTGCTTTGGGAATTTTCTGTCTTAGGAGGGGCAGCTTTGTGTTTTTAATAGTGAAAAGCAGAACAAGGAGAGTGATTGTCTTGGGGAGAAGAAATGAAAATCTACAAGGCCCCTTTGCTCAAAGCAGGCAGAGTAGCCTACATTCTTCTCTGACACTTGAAATTAGCAAATCCAGCCACTTTTGTAGGATTTGGTGGTATCAGGAGTGAAACACCTGATGTGATGCTCTCATATTACGCTGGTAGGGAGCAAAGGGAATGGCTGACATGGCTAAACGTCTGATGCAATGTTCCCTAACTAGTAAACTAGATAAAAATAACTCACTCCTACATCATCTGTTGTATTTCTAAATCTCAGATGTATGGGGGACCCTCACATTAATTTTGTTGAGCTCAGAAGGTGGTAACATTTAGGTCCTAAGTTAGAACTGGGTCGAAGCAGAATGAAAACATTTTCTTCCAAAGTGATAGAATTAATTCAAATTACATGTTTATGGAACAGTCTACAGTGAAATGCATCTCCCTTGTAACTATAGAACATGGGGAAAAGAAGAAATTCTATTAAATATGGAGTTTACATCATTAATATTTTGTGAGGTTAAATCGCCATGTGTATAATCAAGCAAGTATGAGCCTTTTGATGATCCTTACCTGGCTCAGCCATAGATCGGGGTTCTAAAGGGAAGAACAGGAGAATTAGCAGATTGAATATACTTACTTTTGGTAATAGTTTTATTTGGTTTTGGTTTTTTAATTAAGCACTAAATGTGAAGCTTGCTCTTCTCAATATGATGGAATGCTCCTTTTGATCCAATTTTCTTTTTAAAAGAGGGTTGATGGAGACAGCCAGGCCTTATACTCAGTGGTATGTCAAATCCACTGAACAATATGAACACTAATTAACACTTTTTAAAACTTATACATAGGAAATAAATTCTACAAGAAGTATTTTTTTGCAGTGTTCTACTACTTTATTGTGTCTTGAAGACAATTCTGAAACTATTGCACACATTTAATCGAATGATGATAAAACATTGTTTCATTTAGGTTTGATTTAGTGTGGTACTTAAGGAATTTCTATTGAGCTTTGGCTGTTTTAGCATACCAGTGACTTAGGAGGAAACTGCAGATGTTCTGGCTGCATTTGAAAATTAAAGTAGATGTACCTCTCATGTATCATGTGCACACACACACACAAACACACACACGTGTGTAATCATGCTAATGTGTACATCACATTTCCTTTGTGGATAAATAAGCAATCCACTGCTCATAAGCACTATTGCAAGATCACTTAACTAAAAGATGGGGGTTTATGGGCCATGGAAATCTACCTAAATGGCATAAATACAAAGAGAGGAAGTAAGGCTGAGTTAGAAAAGGACATTGGAGTGGCAAAGGGACCAAAGCAGAAGGCAAAACAATTCAGGAGTTTGGGGAATCTCAGATGAATACTACCTGTGAGTTTGCTGTTCAACTCGTCCACAATTTTGGCTTCTGCAACCCAGATTTATTGCCATCAATACGGCTAATATAGTTCTTGCCATTGTAATAAGTATTTCAAAGTTTTGCTATGTCAGCAATTTTGTTGCTTGCCTGTATTTTATTAGACATTAGAGTATTTCCGCACAAGAAACATACTTTTCTGTAATATCCTAAAATCTGGAGAATCTTCTATCAGTGTTCCTTCTCTATACCATTCAACCTTTGGGGAAGGAGCTCCTTTCACACGACATTCAAAGACAACAAGCTGCCCCTCAGAAGCTGAAATATCCTGTAACATCTATTAGAGAAAATGAATAGACAGTCAGTAAATGTCTTATTGGTCTGGAAGGCATATTGATTTCAGTAAGATTTCATAAAGCCACTTAAATCCTTGAATTGCTTAAGAAATGCATCATTTCTGGTTTTATCTTTGATAGCTAGAAAAATGTAAATATCTCTTAATACAATTAATTGACCTCTTTAGTTTCCAAATATGTGATAGAACAAATTACCTTTGTAAATACAGGAGCAGCAATTATAGGTCTTCCATCCAATCCTTGCAAATAGTTAGTGGGGCTTTGAGCCTGTAGGTGGCAAAACATCACATGATGATGTTTAGGTGCAGAGAGGATATTTTCCATATACAGGAGAAACATTCTCTTGGAATGACACAAAAGAGATTTTGGTGGATGAAGTCCAAAGCAAAATATTTAAGGCAATGAATCGAAGTTGCTCTGTTGTGAAGAGCTAGTAGTGATCTTTCTGGATGGGTTACTGTCTGAGTAAAGGCTGTTATTGCCTTATTGAATGAATCATGGCAAGGAAAACTTCAGTGCATTAAAACATCTGTCATTAATACTTCACTAAGGCAAATCCATGTAGGCTGCTTGGTGGTAGCCTCCTTTATAAAATTCTGACTCACAAAGTTTTTATGGATGTTAATAAGGAAAATTTAAGTCAAGTGTGTGACTGCTACTGTAATTCTTCTCCTTTGCCAAAAGCAAACAATTTACAAGGTGGAATATCACCCTACTGATCCTACTCAGTGAAATCAGCATGAAATTACTCTCCTCCTGGAAAACTTCCATATATAACTTCATTAATGGGGTTTTCCATTTTAGCGAAATAGAAGCTGCCCCAGAACAGCAGAATTAGTGATTCAGTATCTCAGGGAGCATAGCCAAATTTTATAGATGGTGTCTTATAAGCCAACAAGATTAAAAGTGGTCATTTTTGAGATAACTGTCACTCTTGACTTAGGCAACCTCTGGCAGAATGTTGCAAAGGCTTAGTTCTGTTCTCCTTGGAGTCAAAACTAAATGGGCATTCATCTCCTATTCACTCTCTCCTTGTTTGTGACAACCTCATTTGGAGTGTCAAGTGAGGTTCCCATTCACTTCTCAGTTTGAAGTAAATATGGCTCTTCTTTCCTATTAGGCAAGAACTCACAGCTATTAATATTCTGAGAGCTTGTAACAAAAAAGACTCAAAATGCCTGCTAATGTTAATTAGAAACTCTTTGATATGGATATTAAAATGTTGTGTGGTAAATAGGGATGTTTATATATAAAGTCAACTTGGTAGTGAAATCATTTAGCTTAAAGTAGGTTTAATTGAAAGAAGGTGATTTGAAGTGAGTTGTGTAGAAGGGGAGAGGAGAAAGTTGCAGGCTGCTGCTC